AATTCGACTTGGTCTGGCACTTAATTTCTCAGTCTTTTACTATGAGATTCTAAACTCTCCTGAAAAGGCCTGCAGCCTGGCAAAAACGGTGAGAAAGACCCTTTGTGCTATCTAACCATAGCAAAACAGTGCTTGTGTTACTAACTTCTTTTTATTCCTGAACATACTCATTGTCTTGGACTTCTTTTGAAAGATTTTCTGGGAGTGGGAGTGGATCTTTTATGAGATAAATACAGATCTGTTACTTTTTAAATTCATTCTCAATACCTACTGCTGACTTTTGTTTGATTACTGTGTTTTGTGGGGTGGCTGTAGAAAGTTCCAGGTGAATGTAGTTAGTTGTTTCTTGCCAAGCTTTGGGCCTTGGTTATACATTGTCATTCTTGTACCAAGATTTGAGATTATAGTTGTATAAAAGAAATACACACCACATTCTTGTTGTGTGTTGGATTACCTTCCATATTCTTCCGTTAGCCTTTTCTACGTTTTTTTTGTAGTCTCTCAACATGCACACACCTTTTTAAAAAAATTTTTATTTGGGAAAGGTGCCTTAAAGTTCATCACTTAAATCAGATTTAGTGATGGGAGTTTCACTGTATCCCTTGTATCCAGACCTTTTGGGTTCTAGTTTAAAACAAAAATTTTTTTAAAAATAATTTTAAATAGAAGATTGCTAGAAATGTCTTTGGTAATTAAAAAATACCATGAGTTTGCCCAGAATGACTGTGCTAGGGTTAGCAGTAATACTGCTTGCTTATTAGGTATAGCAAAGTTCTTATCTCGGAATTTCTGTCATTGTTTGTTGGTGCTTTGTAAACATACCTTATACTTTTGCTGGAAACAGCTAACAGACAGGGTAATAATAGCCTAGGTTCCTCCAAAGTACTGTACAAGAAGATAAATTATATTCACTTAGCAGAAAAAAAGTGGGTTAAACTAGCTCCAGAGAACTTGTGAATTCTTTGCTAAAGGCTCTTTGTTTTAGGCGTTTGATGAAGCAATTGCTGAATTGGATACACTGAATGAAGAGTCTTATAAAGACAGCACTCTGATCATGCAGTTACTTAGGGACAATCTCACTGTAAGTACTACTTCCACAGGGTTTATAGTCTCTGTCCTCTTCACCTATTTATTAATCATTCACTATTATCTTCAAGAGGGGATTTGTGCCCTGTTAAATACACAGTTTTAAGTTGTTAAATTTGTTATAAATGACTGCTGAAGTTTTGACCTTTGCAGTCATCCCTGTCTGCAGTGACACAGGAATAATTTTCACCTGTTGAGATAAGATTATACATACTGGACCACCTACGTAGGCAACTTTTAGTAGCCCTGCTTTGATCATACTTTCTTTCTCTTGCAGCTGTGGACATCGGAAAACCAGGGAGACGAAGGAGATGCTGGGGAGGGAGAGAACTAATGTCTCTCGTGCTTCGTGATCTGTTCAGTGTCACTCTGTACCCTCCACATATATCCCTTGTGCGATAAAAACAAAAAAGAAAAAAAAAAAGAATCGTACGTCGACTTTCGATTTTTCACAGCCTCAGCCTAGGAAAAATGGTTCACGGGATAAACAGCTGGTATTTGTACCTAAAACTCAGATTGGTCACATAAATGCCACGGCATTCCGAAGTTTTGATTTTGATTAACATTGACAGGATTACTGTGTGTTTAATTTTTTAAAAACTGAACACTGTGATTATGGGGTTTTGTAATTTAGCAGAACTCTTACTGGTAGAAAAAATAGACGTGAATTATGTGTAACTTTTTGGAAAGTTTAATCTGATATCAAAATAATCATTGAAATACAATTCCATTGTAAAGTTGTACAGAAAGTTATAGAGATTATATTGTGATGCTGGAACTTGGAGTGAGACACACATCATTTGGCATTTGAGTTTAATGGTAATTCTCAGTAATGCTGCCGTTGTTCGGAGCTTAAAGACATTTGATCTGTTTGGGCTGTTGCCACTTAAAAGTTCATTACCACAAATGTCCACAGTGTCTTCCTCTGAGGAAACCCGAATCCTGAAATGGAAATTCTTTGTGGCAGATAACTGGCTTATGACACCTTGAAAAGTTCAAGTGCTCATATAACACACCCGACTGAACCCCCTTTCCTACAGCAGTATGTTCACTATGTTACGAATTTGCAACTTGTGCTTCAATAGTGGAATCTATTTTCATTGTTAACACTGAGCTAAAGAAAAAAAGCCGTGTGTTTTATGAATGACCTTATCTGTTTCCTGGATAATACCTTTAAGAATGATGTCCTGAGTCAGGCATGGTGGTGCGTGCATCTAGTCCCAACTGTTTGGGAGGCTGAGGCAGGAGGATCACCTGAGCCCAGGAGTTTAAGGCTGCAGTGCCCTATGGTTGCACCTGTGAATTACTGCACTCCAGCCTGGGCAACATAGCGAGACCTCATCTACAAAAACAAAAACAAAGGAATGACGTTCTGCAGAGATTGCCTTTCACTTGAGGAGTACTCAGTTTTCAGGTTCTTCCTAGCTCGGGGCTTTTAAATTTTGAAATCTATACGTTCATTCCCACCATCCTTTTTGACTATTGACCTTGGTTTTCTCTTCTAAGTTTCTGTCCCTCTGCTTCCTTACTTTTTTTCTTTTTTGAATTCTATCTTTATCTGTCTTTTGTTCACTTTTTAATGCTATATATGGGCAGGGGTGAGAGACATTACTGAGCACCTTGGTGAGCAAGCCTGGCTTTAAAGAGTTGAGAAGAGCTTCTGGCACCAGAGCTCTGTCTTCCTCCAGTTCTCAACACGGTGTTGCTCTTCAGTCATACCAGGATCTGAATCAAAAAAGTATTTTTAAATATCCATGATTCCTCCCTGTATTGAGGCTGGCCCTGATCATGCTCTTTGTGCCTGTCACCAGGTCTCTCAAGTGCACTCATCCAGCTCAGCGCTCAGATGTGTTTAAGGAGACCCTATAGTCAGGGAAGTTGCGTGGATACTGCAGTGGAGAGAATTGAGAATAGTCAGGCCTGTCAGTCTCACAGGATCACCCCTCTACCTTTAATATTTCACCTAGCTGTAGAGTCCATCTGTTTGTCCATCTGCTGAAATGAGAAAAGAAAAATTTATGCACTGATTTAAAACAAACCAAAAAAAGAGAAAAAAAAAACAAAAAAAAAAATCCCTCCTTTCTAGCTGAACAAAAATGTGCAGTTAATACTTGGCGCTTGAAAATGCAGTAGTGAATGTGGAACCAAGCCTGTCTGTATATCTGGTAGCTCTTTTCTTGCTTTGTTTTTCCTTACCAGTATTCTGCCTAATGTTTGCTTCTGTGATGGTTATATTGCCTAGCAAGCACACCCGTGGTTGTGAAAATAGTATAGCAAAAAAGAAAAATCCCTGGTTATTGATGTACTAGATTTGTGTATGTCTTTTAAACAGTTCTAGTTTCACCTTACACAGAATAATCAGGAAAAGTGTAAAAATTCAAAAGTGAAATAAAAATTTTATCAGTTAGTTGCCTGTGAATTGATGTGTCACCACCATCTGTGTTGCTACCAGACCTAGCTAACTATTCTGATCACACTTAACTCTCTTTTCTTTAAGAATAGGCAAACAGTTTTATTTCATTATTTAGGACCAGAAGTCAAGGTGTTATACAGGGGAAGAAATTACCATTAATTAAACAGGCTCTTTCCACCCGTTACTTGGTATCTCTCTACCTTCCACACCAAACCATTGCATGTATTAGGTCCTCTTTAGTGACTTCTAAGATTTCGTATGGACAGTTATTTTGCATTGTATTCAAGCCCCCCATCCCTTCCCCATTTTTTAACCCTGAGATACAACCAAGCCAGTGAAATATGTAACCTATGGTTGCATAAGGCTTGGTCATCACCAAGCTGGCGTCTCACCTGTCCTCATACTGTATGGTGGCCTGCAGAGCTGGTTCCTCATGGGATTTGCCCCTTCTGGAAACATCCACACTACCACAAGTAGAGAAAAATATCAGGATAGAGAGGTCTTTTTTTAGCCCAAGATTAGAATTAGTGCTTCCTTGCCACTCTGAGGCTGGACAGCCAGATGGGCACCTTCTGTCCCTAGTTTGGGAGCTGTTCCACCTGTTGAAGCCACACTCAACCAAAGGTTAGTGGGGGCCTACCTGCTTTGTTGGATCAGTGAGACCAGGAAAGTCCTATCAGAGGAAAAGTGAAGTATTGGTGTTCAATGGAGTAGTTGACTTGTTTTTAATGTCCCTATACCACAGATAGAGTGACGCTGCAAGCTCAGATTGACAGTCTTGCTGTTGAGGTCTTGCTCTGCTATTAGGTCCCAACTGTCTGCATTTAGGCTGAGCCACAAGTAACTCAGTGAACCTCCCTGGTATAATGGATGTGTAATGGCTTAACAGAGGGACAGGGAATATCCCAGGAAGGGGTCTTGGTAATATGAGCCAGTACCAAGAAAGGCCTTAGTGGTCTCCAGTTCTCACCTCTCAAAGCCATTTCCGTCCTTGGTGAGAAACGGTGGGACTGGATCAGGGTCTTTGGAGGAAGACATCTTCAATGGAGCAGGATAAAATTCTCTACACAAGCTTTGAAACAGTGGCCTGTTCGGAATTAACGCAAAAAGCGCAGTCTGGGTCTCCTTTCATTCTTGTCAGGAGGGAGTCATTCCCATTTTACAGAGAAGGGAAACGGGTTCAGAAAGACGATGACCTATTCCGGGGTTAGAACCCAATCCCTTGCGTCCTTTCCTCGGCCCAGTCCCGGCCCTTTTAAAACGGGAGGTTTTGAGAGCTCCATTCAAGTGCGCGCAGCCCTGCTCAAGTCCAGGTTGAAGGCTTTTCCCGCCTCCCAGGGCGGGGTCAGAGGTGTCCCCACCTGTAGCTTTTAGAGCCCCAAGTGCTCGCAGGTGGGGTGCGGGCCCAGGAGGGATCCCGGGGAGGGGCGTCCGAGCGCGCCCACGATTGGTGCGCAGGGACCCGGGGGCGGTAAAGGGAAGGGGCTGGCCCGCGCCCGGCAAGGAGGGCTCCCGCCCGCTTGAGCGCGGGGCCGCTGGGTGACCCGGCTCCTGCTTGCCCCGCAGCCCCGGCCCCCTGCCCACCATGAACGCCAGCGGCTCGGGCTACCCGCTCGCCTCGCTCTACGTGGGCGATCTGCACCCCGACGTGACCGAGGCCATGCTCTATGAGAAGTTCTCTCCCGCCGGCCCCATCCTGTCTATCCGCGTGTGCCGCGATGTGGCCACCCGGCGCTCGCTGGGCTACGCCTACATCAACTTCCAGCAGCCCGCGGACGGTGAGCCCCGGGAATGGGGCGGGAGGGGACGGACCGATGGACAGGCAGGCGGACAGACAGAAGCCGGAACTCGGCCGCTTGCGCTTTAATCTTACACTTTGCAGCCGGGGAAACAGAGGCTCAAAGATAACAAGGCGTTGGCAGAGGCCTGGCCCCTGAGACGGGAATTGGTGATTAGTGTGGCTTACTGCTATTCCTCTGCAGAGGAGAGAGATTAGGGCCGAGTGAAAACAGATACAGGCTTTGAGGGGTCAGGCGGACCAGAGATAGAAGCCCAGCAGCTGTGTGACTCTGGGCAAGTTACTCGACCATTCTGAGCTTCAGATGCCTGTCTGGAAATTGGGGGTCCTAGCCGCCTTATAGAGTGCTTGTGAGGATGCGAGATTCAAAGCACCTGGTGAGGAAGATGCCCAAGGCGACACAGCTGGTGAGCGGGGAGGCAGGAGAGCCCAGCCTTGGGCTCAGGCCTTTCCCAGCGCTACGTGAGATCCGCACTGGGCGCCTCTACCAGCACGGGCTCTGAAAAACCGCTGCCTCCAGGCCGCAAGGCCGCTTTCTCAGAGCTGATAGCACTGATTAGAGCTTGCCCCTTGCACTTCTGTTGAGAGTGGAGGGATGAAGATAAGAGCACCGGGTTTCAAGGGCGTTCTGCCACTAGGGTGTGAGCTTGGGCAAGGCTTCACCCTCCGCACCTTTTCATTTGCAAAATGGGGCTAAGGCTTATTCTCCGATAGCATAAAGAATGGAGAACTGGTGTCTATGAAATTATCTCTTGTATCACTTGTTACCTCGTAAACGCTCTTAAGTGATAACCGTAAAAAAAAAATAATAAGGCCGGGCGCGGCGGCTCACGCCTGTAATCCCAGCACTTTGGGAGGCCGAGGAGGGCAGATCACTTGAGGTCAGGAGTTCGAGACCAGCCTGGCCAAGATAGCGACACCCTGTCTCTACTAAAAATACAAAAAATAGCTGGGCATGATGGCTGGCGCCAGTAGTCCCAACTGCTGAGGAGGCTGAGGCATGAGAATCGCTTGAATCCGGGAGCAAGAGGTTGCAGTGAGCCGAGACCGCGCCATTGCACTCCAGCCTGGGCGACAGAGCGAGACTCCATCTCAAAAGCAACAACAACAACAGCAACAAAAATAGTGCCTTTAACATTCTGACCTAAGACTCCAGAATCCCAAAAAATGCCCGCCCCAGTGGAATCCACTAGAAGGATCCTTTGCGCCAGGCCGCCTGGGTGGACCAGGCCGTACCCTGAGTGGGTGATTTGCTGGGGAAGGGGTTGTTCCACAGGGCCGGTTCCCCGCCCCTTACTGAGCTGGATTCCTGGACACCTTTCTCTTTGCTCTGCTTTGCTCCACCTCCTGCCTCTTCCTCTCTTCCTCCCTTCCTCCAAGCCCTGTGAATGAAGTGGGACTTGGTTTTTTTGCCCCACCTCATAGATGGAAACCTCGCTGCAGAGAGAAGGATTTTGTCTCCGTGTATTTATGATAAGACTAGGTGGAGAAGCCGAGCTTCCTGAAACTTGCTCCACTGTGTTCCCCACAGCCCCTCTCCATGTCTCTGCGCTAGTAGACTCCCTGAAACAGGGAGCATGTATCACCCGGCAGGGATACAGGCTGCAGCAGTGGCCGGAGGCTGGGCATTGGCTGCTGTTTTGAGACAGACATGATTTTGTGTCAGGTACAAAGTTACAAACAAGGCACCTTGAATACCTTCTTTATTTTTCAGTCCCTCCAACAACCTGGTAGTTGGTAATATCTCCCTTTATTAGGAAAAGTAGGTAATATTATCATCATTCCCCCTTTACAGGTGAGGAGCAGGCTCAGAGAGGTAATGTTCACTTTCCCCAGAACCTGACTGCTTGATAGGTAATCTCAGCTCTGCCCTGCAGCACCTCTGAGTTTTAATTTCCTTAAAGTGCTGCCACCCCTTGTCATATGGACATTCTTTTATTTTTTTTTAGATGGAGTCTTGCTCTGTCGCCCAGACTGGAGTGCAGTGGTGCGATCTCGGCTCACTGCAAGCTCCCCCTCCTGGGTTCATGCCATTCTCCTGCCTCAGCCTCCCGAGTAGCTGGGACTACACATCCCCGCCACCACGCCCGGCTAATTTTTTTGTATTTTTTTAGTAGAGATGGGGTTTTACCGTTTTACCGTGTTAGCCAGGAAGATCTCCATCTTCTGACCTCGTGATCCACCCACCTCATATGGACATTCTTATCCACTCAGTGTACTTTAGAAGCCAGAATAGACCTGACACGGCCACAGACCTTTCCTGTTTCTTAGTCTCAGTTTTCCCATCTGTAAAATGGGGGCAGGAGTCCATGCTCATGTGGCTACAGGGAGTTGAATGAGATCATAACTGGAAGGTGGGGGGAGCACCATACACACTTAATTCTCAGCTTATCCTTCCTGAGCCTTCAGGCTCTTATCTCAGGTGGGACCCAGACAATGACTTTCTCTTTTTTTGACTCCCAGTTAAGCACCCGGAGGGGTGGGCGATCAAGGCAAGAAAATTCCCTTAACTTGCTCATTTCTCTCCTCTTCCTTCTGTCCAGCGGAGCGGGCACTGGACACAATGAACTTTGAAATGCTCAAAGGCCAGCCTATTCGCATCATGTGGTCCCAGCGAGACCCAGGACTTCGCAAGTCAGGTGTGGGCAACATCTTCATCAAGAACCTGGAGGACTCCATTGACAACAAGGCTTTATATGATACCTTCTCCACCTTTGGGAACATCCTCTCCTGCAAGGTAGAGGATGAAGGGTGTACGTCTTTGGGTGGATCAGTGTCAACTACCTGCCTGGTAGAGGGATGACAAGCAACACCTCACTTTACAGTTTACAAGGTCCTTTCAGTCAAGTTTCAGGAACACCAAGCACCTGAATGGTAGCCGTTCTTTCAGTTTCATCTTCCATGAATGATCAGACATTACCTGTGTATCAGTCAGCTCTCGCTGTGTAACCACCCTCAAATTTAGTGGCTATCAACAACAATCATTTATTTAGCTCGTAATTCCACAGTTGGCAATGGGCAAAGTTCAGCTGGGCAGTTCTTCTGGTCTTGACTGGGTTCCCTCCTATGCCCACTGAAAGCTGAGTGGGAGCTCTCACTGGGTATATGAGGGAGTGGCTGGCTGTCGGCTGAAACATCTCAGCTTTCCTCCCTATTGACTTTTGTCCTCCAGCAGGCTAGTCCAGGCTATTCTCATGGTATTCTCATGGCAATGGCAGGGACTCAGAAAACAAGAGTGGAAGCACACCAGGCCTCTTGAGAACTGAATGCAGAACTGGAACCATCACTTCCACTACATTTTTTTTTTTTTTTTTAATTGAGATGCAGTCTCATTCTGTTGCCCAGGCTGGAGTACAGTGGCGCGATCTCAGCTTACTGCAACTTCCTGAGTTTAAGCCTGCTGAGTTCAAACGATTCTCCTGCCTCAGCCTCCTGAGTAGGTGGGATTACAGGTGTGAGCCACCATGCCTGGCTAATTTTTGTATTTTTAGTGGAGACAGTGTGGGTTTCACCATGTTGGCCAGCCTGGTCTCGAACTCCTGACCTCCCAAAGTACTGAGGTTACAGCCATGAGCCACCACACCTGGCCACTTTCACTACATTCTATTGACCAAAGCGAGTCACAAGACCAACCCACATTCAAAGTGAGAGGGGAGTAGAAATTATAGGATGAAGGGTGTGGCTACAGGAAGGCCGTTAATTGGGGCCATGATGGCAATCAAGTGATTAAATCTTGTTTTTAAGATTGTCTTACATTAGATGTAAGTTCCATCAGTGATCTTGTTCTTAGTCATTATTGTATCCCAATACTTAGAATAAGATATGACACATATTAGGTGCTCAATAAATATCTGTTGAGCCAATGGATGTATATCATTTGAGAAGGATTCTGATTATTTCTCTGACTTTCTATATGAAGATGTTGAGGATCAGCGGCCATGTAGCAGGTCAGTATGTCCGGAACAGAGGACTTAAACCTGGGTGTTCTGCCTCTAGATTTTATGAGGATGGTTGATCGGTTACCCTGTAGCCTTTGGAGTGTCTGGTATTCTAGGGAGGATGGGGACAGTTTTTGTAGCCTATGTGTTAGAACTTTCATCAAGTGCTACTGTGTGCCAAGCATAATCCTTAAGTTCTCAATAAGGGCCCTCAAATTCTTGGTCAATAGGAGGGTAACTCTGTGGCTCAGAGGAGCAGGTAGATTTCAGGAGATGTAGTAATGCGCTAAGGGTTATCTGTGACAGAGAGACGGGGCCATTTCCTGTCTTTGAGGATCAAAGGAAGAAACAGACTCTTGTGTATTAAGTTCTTCACAATAATAATGGCAGATTTATCACGTACTTTCTGTGTGTTAGGTTTTCTGCATACATGTATACTCCTTTTAAAAGGGTGCCTGGCACACTGCAGCTTCTCAGTGATAACTATAATAATCAAAGAATTAATTCTGTTGGCTGATCCTGGACAAGTCATTTATTCTCATTTTCCCTCTGGGGCTCAGGGGTTAAGAGGTGCTTGGAAGGATTCTCGTGGCATAGATAACAAGGGAGGTATGTAATGCCCTTGGCAGGTTCTTGACCCACAGTGGGGACCCAGTCAATGTGATTAAATCCGAATGACCGATCTGAGGCTTGAGTTGAAAGTGGAAGAACCCTGTTTCAGTAAGAGAGGTGGAGGGGTATGTGCAAGGCATGGGTTTGGAAGCAAGACTTGTTGTGCAGGACCCATTGGGGAGCCTCAAATGCCAAGTTGATATAGTTCTGTGGATAGAAGCTACTAGAGACTGAAGGAATGTGGTCAGAATTACATTTTAGAAAGAGCATCCCAGTGGTAGTGTGGAAGCTAGGCTGGGAGGCAGTGCTTGTTATCCAGGCAGAAAATGCCACTAGCTGAGCTGAGCCTGTAGACACAGGGATGAGTGGAGCCACAGTCACCTTGAAGTGGGGGTTAGTGGTCTTTCTGTGAGTTCAACAAGAGGGATGGGGACTACATGAACTAGAAGGTCTTTCCCCGTTCTCAAGTTCTGTCCTGTTGACCTGAGTTAGGAGGGTTACAGAATGGGAATAGGATGTTGTGCATCTTTAAAGAAAAAAAAAAAAAGATGAGGCCAGGTGCGGTGGCTCAAGCTTGTAATCCCAACACTTTGGGAGGCCAAGGTGGGTGGATCCCCTGAGGTCAGGAGTCCGGGACCAGCCTAGCCAACATGGTGAAACTCCATCTCTACTAAAAATATAAAACATTAGCCAGGCATGGTGGCATGTACCTGTAATCTCAGCTATTCGGGAGGCTGAGGCAGGAGAATCGCTTGGACCTGGAAGGCGGGGGTTGCGGTGAGCCAAGGTTGTGCCATTGCACTCCAGCCTGGGCAGCAAGAGTGAAACTCCTCAAAAAAAAAGAAAAATTGAAATGAGTTTGTTGTTGCAGTAATTCATGAATTGGCAAAGTTTAAACAATGTGGAAGGGAAGAAAGTGAAAAAGAAGACTCCATTTCTTTCAGCCCTACTCCCCAAAAGTAATATTAATACATTTTATGTGTCTTTTTCAAAATTTCCAATGTGTAGATGCCTACTTTAGCCCGAACGGATTTTTTTTTTTTTTTTTTCACTTAACAAGACTGTCAGCCATGTAACCAACCACATTCTCTTCAACTCTGCACGTACAGAATACTGGTGTGAATGTACCATCAAGGCCCCCCTTGATGAATACCCAGGTTGTTTCTAGTTTCTTGATAGAAACACGGATGCAGATATGAGGGTTTGACCCTAACCCTTTTGCCCATTGCCTTAGGAAGACAATCAAAAGCCGGTATGCAGTATAGATGAAACCTGTGTTCATTGCGAGGGCGTTCTCCCTCTTAAATCTGTTTTCTCTTTTCTCTTTTTATTTTTTTGACACAGAGTCTCACTCTGCCACCCAGGCTGGAGTGCAGTGGCGCGATATCAGCTCACTGCAACCTTCGCCTCCTGGGTTCAAGCAATTCCCCTGCCTCAGCCTCCTGAGTAGCTGGGATTACAGGCACCCGCCACCACATCCGGCTAATTTTGTGTGTTTTTAATAGAGACAGGGTTTCACCATGTTGTCCAGGCTGGTCTCCAACTCCTGACCTCAAGTGATATGCCCACCTCGGCCTCCCAAAGTACCGGGATTACAGGCATGAGCCACCACACCCAGCCTTCCTTAATCCGTTAACTTGAGTGGTGGCACTCTCTGAGCTTCCATATCCCATCCCTAACATGCAGGATTGCCTTTTCCATGCACACAGCAGGCATGCAGAGACTGGTCATGATCCCTTTGCTATTCCTTTCTACCTGAACCCTCTGTCAGTACTCTTCCTGTCCTTCCTCCCTGTGGCCCAGGTGGTGTGTGACGAGCATGGCTCCCGGGGTTTCGGCTTTGTCCATTTTGAGACGCATGAGGCCGCACAGCAGGCCATCAACACCATGAACGGGATGCTGCTGAATGACCGCAAAGTGTGAGTGGCTGGGCCTGAGGGAGGGTGGAGGCTGCAGGGACAGAAGCATGGCACCACTGACTTGGAATCGATGCTACCCTCAAGCTGCTAATGGGCACCAGGCACTTGAGTGGCAGGCAGCCTTCCTAGAAGTGCAACCTCAGAGCAGCTGCTCACCTTCTCAGGGACTCTTTCCTGACATAAAGATGGAGCTGATAATCTGCCTTAGAGGATTGTTCTGAGTGGTAAAGGAAGTGATGATTTTAAAACTCTAGAGGGACTGGCTAATGGTCATATCATCAATGGACTCAGTGTTTTCATCTGTGTTCCAGCCTTCTCAGTATGGGGTGTATGTGTGTGTGACAGGGTCTTGCCATTATGTAGCCCAGGCTAGATACACATGGCACCAACACAGCTCACTGCAGCCTTGACCTCCTTGGCTCAAGTAATCCTCCTGTCTCAGCCTCCTTTGTAGCTGGGACCACAGGTGACCACATGCCACCACACCTCGCTAATTTTTTTTATTGTTTATTTTTTTGTAGAGATGGGGTCTCACTTTGTTACCCAGGCTGGTCTTGAACTCTTGGGTTCAAGTGATCCTCCTGCCTCAGCCTCCTAAAGTGTTAAAGTGCTGAGATTACAGGCATGAGCTACCACGCCTGGCTTTTTCTTTAAACCTTTTGTGTTGTTTCATGAGATTTTGGCGGAAAGAAAAGTAGGCATATGCTTAGCTTGCTCTCATCCTACCATTAACTTTGATATCATCCCCACTACACAGATGGGAAAACTGAGAGGCAGATGCTAGAGAGAATCTGCCTCTGGCTGTTCCCTGCCCAGAATTTTTATTTTGCTCATCTGAGGGGCCAGCCCCCATGGTCAGGCCTGTGGAGAGAAGGTGGCTTTGAGCTGGGGGATGCACTGAGAGTCATTTTGTCCAGGGTTACTCGGGGCAGGGTCCAGTCAACCTGTCAAACAAATCTCGGTGGGCTTTCCCAGTGCTCAGAAGAATACTCTTGTCAGCTCCAATTTACTCAAGTTTACCTTTGCCACTCAGTTTTCTTCAAATTGTGGTGCCTGGTACAACTTTGTGCTAAACGTGCTAAAAATACCATCAGATTTTATTTTCATTTTTAAAATCTGGGATACTTTCCTAGATGTGTTCACATGAACTAGGAAATAATCTTTTAAAATTAATCTTGTGTCTGGGTGCGGTGGCTCACACCTGTAATCCCAGCACTTTGGGAGGCCAAGGAGGGCGAATCATCTGAGGTCAGGAGTTCAAGACTAGCCTGGAAAACATGGTGAAACTCCATCTCTACCCAAAATACAAAAATTAGCCATGTGTGGTGGCACATGCCTGTAATCCCAGCTACTCGGGAGGCTGAGTGAGGCAGGCGAATCACTTGAACCCGGGAAGCGGAGCTTGCAGTAAGCTGAGATCGCACCACTGCACTCCAGCCTGGGTGATAGAGTGAAACTCAGTGTCAAAAACATAATAAGTAAAAATAAAATTAATCTTGTATTTAAGTGATTTTAATCAATGCCCCCCATAGCAACAGTAGCATTGACTGCGTCTAATTCACTTAACCTTGCTTCCCCAGTACACCCAATACATGTCAATAAGCAAAGCCCTATGATGAGAATTTGAGTCCCAATTTTCCAGCAATGAACTCTGAGGCTCAGAGAGGTTAAGTAACTTGCCCAGGATCACACAGCTAGGCAACTGCAGAGTGAGGATTCAAGCCCTTGTCTGTTTGACTCCCAGGCTCATTCTTCTGTGCTCTCAGCTGCCTGATATATAGTAGTAGTTATGTGTGCATTTGTCACAAGAATGAAACCTTCTTAACCTTCTGCTGGGGACAAGCTCTGGAACATAATATAATATCTTGGCTGTTGGAGGTAGCCGGGCCTTGGGGATATTCTAAGGAGTTTTGTTCTACCCAGTTTCCTGATGAGGGATATGTAAGCCTGGAGAAGGGCAGCAGTTAAGCGGGAGTTGGCATGGGGGTGGCTGATGACTGGTAGCTGTCCACAGCCATCAGCCACTGTGGTGTGTCCACAGCTTTGTGGGCCACTTCAAGTCTCGACGGGAGCGGGAGGCGGAGCTGGGGGCGCGGGCCCTGGAGTTCACCAACATCTACGTGAAGAACCTCCCGGTGGATGTGGACGAGCAAGGCCTGCAGGACCTCTTCTCCCAGTTTGGTGGGTGTGTCCCCAAGGGAGTGGGGGTATCACTGTTTTTCCTCTTCCCCTCCAAAGTTTGGTAGGGGGGAGGGGCCCTCCTGGGGTCTCCTGAGGACTTGCCAGACTCCCCTTTGAGCCAGGTTGGTCCTTTACAGGGAAGATGTTGAGTGTGAAGGTGATGAGGGACAACAGCGGTCACTCGCGGTGCTTTGGCTTTGTCAACTTTGAGAAGCATGAGGAAGCCCAGAAGGTAGGAGCCTCCCCATGGCTCTGTTCTGTGGCAGGGGGACTGAGCTGGGACTAAGAAGAGGGTCCCAGCTGCCTGTGGAGGGGAAGAAAGTCCCTCCCCGGCCTAAGCCAAGAGGGTGGGAGAGTCCTACAAGCAGGCAGAGCCCATCCTTCCTGTGGTGCAAACGCCAAGGGCTTCTTTCTTTTTTGGTCACTTCTAGCCCTGAGGTCTGCAGAACTGAATATTTAGGCAGGGATGCAAAAGTCATGATTATATAAAAATATTTACTTGTGAACTGACCACTTAAATCAGTTTCCACCAGGTATGGTGGTGTGCACCTGTAATCTCGGCCTACATGGGAGGCTGAAGCAGGAGGATCCCTTGAGCCCAGTGGTTTGAGTCCAGCTTGGGCAGCATAGCAAGACCCTGTCTCTAATTTTTTAAAAAACTGTCCAGATGTGATGGCTCATGCTTGTAATCCTAGCACTTGGGGAGGCTGGGTGGGAAGACTGTTTGAGTTCAGGAGTTCGAGACCAGCTGGGCAAAAACAGCGAGACGCCATCTTCACACACAAAAAGGCTCTCACAGTTAGCAAAGAGGATTATTTTGTGCCATGAAATACAACTCAAAGTAAGGATGTTGACGATGCTGTCATGCCATTATGAAGGAATTATGCTTGCTGCTTGGTTCAAATTATCCATGTGTAGTTGCAGTTAGAACCTAATTTTTTAAAGTTCTTTTTTAAACGCAGTTTTAGGTTCAGAGCAATGTTTAGTGGAAGGTACGGCAGTCTTCTGTATACCCCGTGGCCCCACACATGAACAGCCTCGCCATTATCAATGTCCTGCTCCCAAGGGTTACATCTGTTACGAGTGATTAACTTACTTTGACACATCATTAACACACAGTCCCAAGTTTACATTAGGATTTACTTTTGGTGTAGAGTCTAGGGGTTTGGACAAATGCATAGTGACATATATCCACTATTACGGTATCATGCAGAGTACTTTCAGTGCCTTAAACATCCCCTGTGCTCCATCTCTTCATTCCTTCATGCCCCTTAACCCCTGGCAACCGATGATCTTTTTACTGGCTCCGTAGTTTTGCCTTTTCTGGAACAGAGAGTATGTAACTTAGATTGGCTTCTTTCACTTGGTAATACACATTTAAAATATGGGAATATATAAATATTTACATTTTATTTTATTTTATTTTTATTTATTTATTTTTGAGACGGAGTCTCACTCTGTCACCCAGGATGGAATGCAGTGACATGATCTTGGCTCACTGCAACCTCTGCCTCCTGGATTCGGGTGATTCTCCTGCCTCAACCTCCCGAGTAGCTGCGACTACAGGCGCTTGCCACCATGCCAGGCTAATTTTTGTATTTTTAGTAGAGAAGGGGTTTCACCATGTTGGTCAGGCTGGTACTGAACTCCTGACCTCAAGTGATCCACCTGCCTTGGCCTCCCAAAGTGCTGGGATTACAGGCGTGAGCCACCGTGTCCGGCCATATTTACATTTTAAATATGGGAAACTTTGCAAATCTCAATTTTATTTTTATTTTTATTTTATTAAGACAGAGTCTGCCAGGCATGATGGCTCATGCCTGTAATCGCAGCACTTTGGGAGGCCGAGTTGGGTGGATCACGAGGTCAGGAGATCGAGACCATCCTGGCTAACACAGTGAAACTCTGTCTCTACTAAAAATACAAAAAATTAGCCGGGCACAGTGGCGGGCACCTATAGTCCCAGCTACTCCGGAGGCTGAGGCAGGAGAATGGCGTGAGCCCAGGAGGTGGCACTTGCAGTGAGCCGAGATCGTGCCACTATACTCTAATCTGAGTGACCAAGTGAAACTGTCTCAAAAAAAAAAAAGAAAAAAAAGACAGAGTCTCACTCTATCACCTAGGTTGTAGTGCAGTGGCGCGATCTCAGCTCGCTGCAACCTCCACCTCCCAGTTTCAAGGGATTCTCCCGCCTCAGCCTCCTAAGTAGCTGAGATTACAGGCACCCGCCACCATGTCTGGCTAATTTTTGTATTTTTAGTAGAGATGGGGTTTCACCAATTTGGCCAGGCTGATTTCAAACTCCTGACCTCAAGTGATCCACCCACCTTGGCCTCCCAAAGTGCTGTGATTACCAGGTGTGAGCCACTGTGTCCGGCCATCAATTTTGTTTTTTAAAATACAGCCCCAGTCCGATTTTTTATTTTTATTTTTCGAGACGGAGTTTCCTTCTTGTTGCCCGGGCTGTAGTGCAATGGCGCGATCTTGGCTCACTGCAACTTCTGCCTCCCAGGTTCAAGCGATTCTCCTGCCTCAGCCTCCTGAGTACCTGGGATTACAGGCATGTGCCACCATGCCTGGCTAATTTTGTATTTTTAGTAGAGATAGGATTTCTCCATGTTGGTCAGGCTGGTCTCGAAATCCTGACCTCAGGTGATCCATTCCCCTCGGCCTCCCAAAGTGCTGGAATTACAGGCGTGAGCCAAAGTGGGTATACTTAAATGGCCTTTGTCCTGGTACTGATTATTCTCGGCTAGTGTGGCCAGCCCGGTTTGCAGGTGGCCTCTCTAGATCCAGAAGATGAACTTGGGCCAGGGCTACATCTGAGTGGTTACCAAGCATGTTCCCTCCTCCTCTCCCCAGGCTGTGGTGCATATGAATGGGAAGGAGGTGAGTGGGCGGCTGCTGTATGCCGGCCGGGCCCAAAAGCGCGTGGAGCGGCAGAATGAACTGAAGCGCAGGTTTGAGCAGATGAAGCAGGACCGGCTGAGGCGTTACCAGGTGAGATCAGGCTTCCTGGTGACAGCTACTCTGTGTGAAAGCAGCTGTGTGTCGGGGGCCCTGAGTGGTGACTGTTTCTTCTAGTCATCCTACTTCTGGGCATTTGGCTCAAGGCAGGAATCGAACGAGCATGGGATGGTCTCCACTGCCTGATTTGTAACAGTGAGAAACTGGGCACAGCCCAACCATGATAGGGGTTAGTAGGGGTGCTGGGGACCTTTTGGTTAGAATAATCCTTCATGTGGGACTGGTTAGCATCCAACCTGGCCCACTCAATCCCAGTTGCATCCTCTAGTCTCAGACAACCAAAGTAACCCGCATATTGCCAAATGCCCCTAGAGGAAATCTTACTCCTGGTTGAGAATAATCAGGCCAAATATGTTACATCCAAAAGTTGGAATGTTGGACAGCCTTTGGATTATATGGCGTTAATAATTAAAGTGAATATTGTAGATCAGTGCAATTTAAAACTTCATTGGGAAGTGAAACCCTCAAAGATTTTTTTTTTTTTTTTAGACGGAGTCTCGCTCTGTTGCCCAGGCTGGAGTGCAGTGCTATGGCGCGATCTCGGCTCACTGCAACCTCCGCCCCCGGGGTTCAAGAAAGTCTCCTGTCTCAGCCTCCCAAGTAGCTGGGATTACAGGTACCTGCCACCATGCCCAGCTAATTTTTGTTTTTTTGTTTTGTTTTGTTTTTGTTTTTTTGTTTTATTTTTTTGAGATGGAGTCTTGCTGTGTCACTCAGGCTGGAGTGCAGTGGTGTGATCTTGGCTCACTGCAGCCTCTGCCTCCTGGGTTCAAGCAATTCTTCTGCCTCAGCCTCCTGAGTAGCTGGAATTACAGGTGCATGCCACCATGCCTGACTAATTTATGTATTTTTGGTAGAAACAGGGTTTCACCATGTTGCCCAGGCTGGTCTCGAATTCCTGACCTTGTGATCTGCCCGCCTCAGCCTCCCAAAGTGCTGGGATTACAGGTGTGAGCCACCACGCCTGGCCTCATTTTTGTATTTTTAATAGAGATAGGGTTTCAGCATGTTGGCCAGGCTGGTCTTGAACTCCTGACCTCAGATGATCTGCCCACTTCGGTCTCCCAAAGTTCTGGGATTACAGGCGTGAGCCACTGTGCCTGGCCCCCCTCTAAGATTTTTGATAAAAGTTCTAGATTCTTCATGGAGAAGGGCATATAAATATACACATCCACAAAAAATTGTGCACACATACTCAGTAGTTCTCAGTGACGAGCAGTTTTGCCTCCTGGGGGACATTTGGCAACGTCTAGAATTTTCATTGTCGTGTGGGTGGTGGGGTGCTACTGTCATCCACTGGGTAGAGGCCAGGGATGCTGGCAGACATCCTACAGTGCCCAGGACAATGCCACAGCAAGGAACTGTCTGGCACAAAATGTCACTAGGTCTGAGGCTGAGAAACACATATATCCACTTATGTACATACAGCGTGTGCAGGTGCTTACAGACCCACAGAACAAAATACTTGTTACGTGATCTGTGAGAGCAGGATGCTATGCTGTACAACTGTGTGGTCTCTGCTCTCTGTGTGTTCACACACTGTTGTGTTTGGGAGGTCTGGAAGGAGAAAAGTCAAGGTGCTAGAGGCAGCTGTCACTCAACAGTGAGGCACACAGATGCTGAAGTTAGGCTGCCTGGGTTGTCCAGTCTCTGCCACTTAGCCACTATACGATCTGGGGCAACTCTTTGTGTTTCAGTTTTGTCCATAAAATAAGGATAAAAGTTTCCTTCAAGCAGGGTTGTTGTGAGGATTAACAATCTAAATGTGGACTGGTGTGGTGGCTCACACCTGTAATCCCAGCACTTTGGGGGGCTGAGGTGGACAGATCACCTGAGGTCAGGAGTTCAAGACTGGCCTGACCAACATGGAGAAACCCGTCTCTGCTAAAAAATACAAAGTTAGCTGGGCCTGGTTGCACATGCCTGTAATCCCAGCTACTTGGGAGGCTGAGGCAGAAGAATCACTTGAACGCAGGAGGCAGAGGTTGCAGTGAGCCGAGCTTGTACCATCGCACCTAGCCTGGACAACAAGAGCAAAAATCTGCCTAAAAAAAAAAGTCTTAAAAAAAAAAAATCAAACTGTATGGGAAAGCTTAGAGTGGCACCTGGCACCAGCATGAGTAAGTGCCCGAGGTTCTGGGCTGGCAGGCGGTGGAGGGGCAGCTCACCTGTGTTAGGGGTCTGGTCATGGGCCAGCCTGCAAGGAGCTCTGCCTCCTGCTGCCCGATATCCACCATCTGGAGAGCTCGGCTTGAGCTTGCTCTGCACCTCAGCCTGCCATGGGACCTGGGGCATCCTCGTGGGCCCCATCTGTGAAATGGGGAATAGCTGTGGTGAGGCTGGGACCAGCGCAGATGTGTGAGAACTGCAGGGGAATTCGGGATGTGGGGCTACAGCTTGCATGTGATGGGCACGCTGAGGGATAGGGGTACCTGGGTGCTGAGGGAGACAGGGAGCAGGAGGCTGGGCTGGTGGGGCTCCCCATGCCCCTTGTGCCTCTGTCAGCCCCTGATCTCCCCAAGGCAGTTGGGGTTGGAGGGGAAGAGGCCATCGAGCAGTTTCCCTTTCCTTCCAGGGTGTGAACTTGTACGTGAAGAACCTGGACGACTCCATTGATGACGACAAACTGAGGAAAGAGTTCTCTCCCTATGGAGTAATTACCAGTGCGAAGGTGAGGGCTGGGGGCACCTCTGGAGGACAGCGTTCCCCTCCATCCTCTCACCACCATCCCCCGCAACCTCACCCCTCCGCCCTCTCGCCCAGTGGCTTCCAGGGGGTGGGTGCCGGCTACCCCTTCTGGGGCTCTGCTGACCCCGTTGGAACTTGTAGCCCATCTGCAGCCTTGTCTGGGCTGAAGGGGAAGAGGGTAGAAATATAGTCCCAGTCACACAGCTAGACTTGGGGCTCACTGTAACCTTGGCATTTATTGAGTGCCTACTGTATGCCAGATTCCAGAAATTCACATCTTAGTATTTCCATTGACTTTTGTTGTCTGGCCTCTGCCAGTGACATCACACTCCTGGGCCTCCGTTTTCCCATCTGGAAAGTGAGAGGGCTGAACTTCGTCGTTCTTTGTTTGTTCTTCCCTATTTCTGGAGCACCAATTGTGTGCCCAACCCTGTTAGGCTCCTGAGATGTGGTAACTGGACCATCTACTCAGCAGCTCTGTGAGTTTAGCAGATGTCGTCTCATAGATAAGGACACTGGGCTCAGTGGATGGCTTTCGACCCTGGCTTCTCATTACAACCCCCTGGGCAATTCTTAAATATATACACCTGAGTCAGGCATGGAATGTGGCTCCCTGGGGTGTAGGGCCCGGGCTTTTTTTGTTTGTTTTTTAAAGCTCCCAGAGGCCGGGCGCGGTGGCTCACGCCTGTAATCCCAGCACTTTGGGAGGCCAAAGTGGGTGAATCACGAGGTCAGGAGATCGAGACCATCCTAACACGGTGAAACCCCATCTCAACTAAAAATACAAAAAATTAGCTGGGCATGGTGGCAGGCGCCTGTTGTTCCAGCTACTCTGGAGGCTGAGGCAGGAGAATGGCGTGAACCCGGGAGGTGGAGCTTGCAGTGAGCTGAGATGGTACCACTGCACTCCAGCCTGGGCGACACAGCAAGACTCCATCTCAAAAAAAAAAAAAAAAAAAAAAGCACCCAGATGGTTTTAAGATGATCTAGTGTTTATTCCTTCTGTACTATACTTAAATACCTGTTGTTTTACCAGGCTCTGTGGGAAACAGGAACAAATCAGATGTGATCCTTGCTTTCGAGTAGCTTATAGTCTAGTGAGGAAGTCAGCCCATCACTAACTCAAATGGATTATAAGATGGGGACAGTATGGGAGGCAGAGCTACAGGAGTTCAGTGGAACAGGAGGGAGGGCTGCCTGGAAGAAGGGGCAGTAGCAGCAGTGTTTGACTTGGCTATGAGGAGGTAGGGAGCTGGAGTAGGAATGAGGAATTTTCCAAAGAGATCTGTGTGAGTGACAGGATGGGGGGACCCGCCTGAGTGATGTGATGCTTGGGTTCTGAGGAAGTGGTCTAGAAGTTCTCTTTTGGCTATTGAGTCCAATTATAAACATTCTTCAGGGAGCCTTGTGTTTGGAGCAAAAAAGGTTGTCTTTTAGGTTAACGTCCTTTTGAAAAATGTGAGAGAAGGCTGTGGCACATGTAAATTAGGCATCAGTAAATTTGATTACACATCATAAAAAGCTATAGGTCCTCTTTCCCAGCAAATGCATACACATTTGATGTAGTAACATGGTTGAAAGATGGAATTTTAAAGTTAATCAGATTTAAATGTAAACCCCCAGTCCTACCATTACCTAGCTGTAGAATCTGAGGCAAGTGGCTTTGCTTTTTGGACCTTGTTTACTCACCTATAAAGTGGGAGCAACATTGCTCACCTCTCCAGGTGTCCTGAGAACTACTAAAGAGGCTGCGTGTAGAGCATCTGCATTCGATAAGTAGTGAAATAGTGACTGTTGTAATTAGTCATCATACACCTTACATACAGCGTCCGGAGATGGACCTTCTTGAGGACTCCTGGAACAAAGGAAATGTGTAAATTTGGATTGCTTAGAGTTAAGGCACACCTGGGGTGACCATCTTTTTAACAAGACAAATTGTATGAAATGGGGATTATATATATATATATATATCTTTTTTGTGTGTATGTGATGGAGTCTAGCTCTGTCACCCAGGCTGGAGTGCAGTGGTGCAATCTCGACTCACTACAACCTCTGCCTCCCGGGTTCAAGTGATTATTCTGCCTCAGCCTCCCGAGTAGCTGGGATTACAGGCGCCTTCCACCAAGCCCAGCTAATTTTTGTATCTTTAGTAGAGATGGGGTTTCACTGTGTTGGCCAGGCTGGTTTCAAACTCCTGATCTTGTGATCCGCCCGCCTCAGCCTCCCAAAGTGCTGGGATTACAAGCATGAGCCACCACGCCCAGCCTATATATATATATCTTATACAATTTTTATTTTTATTTTTCGAGACGGAGTTTCCTTCTTGTTGCCCGGGCTGTAGTGCAATGGCGCGATCTTGGCTCACTGCAACTTCTGCCTCCCAGGTTCAAGCAATTCTCCTGCCTCAGCCTTCTGAGTAGCTGAGATTACAGGCACCCATCACCAAGCCCTACTAATTTTTATATTTTTAGTAGAGATGAGGTTTCACCATGTTGGCCAGGCTGGTCTTGAACTCCTGACCTCAGGTGATCTGCCCGCCTTGGCCTCCCAAAGTGCTGAGATTATAGGCGTGAGCCACCGCACCTGGCCCATCTTATACACTTTTATATATTTTGGTTTATTATTATTTTTATGAGAGACAGGTTCTTATTCTGTTGCCCAGGCTGGAGTGCTGTGGTGTGATCATGGCATGCTGCAGCCTCAACCTCCTGGGCTCAAGTGATCCTCCCACCTGAGCCTCCCAAGTAACTGGGACCACAGGCATGTGCCACCATGCCCAGCTGATTTTTAAAAAATTTATTTTGGTAGAGATGAGGTCTTGCTATGTTGCCCAGGCTTGTCTTGAACTCCTGGGCTCAAGCAGTCCTCCTACCTCAGCCTCCCAAAGTGCTGGGATTACAGGCATGAGCCATTGCATCTGCCCTATATTGTTTTATATAAAAATAATTATGAAAATTAAAGGAATTAATGGATATACTTATACCACTATCAAGTTCATGGTAAGCTCTGAATAAGTGTTAGCTTTGCTAAATTTTATCATTATTAACTAATGACTGCCAGAAGTTCTTAAATATATATATACACACACATACACATATATACACACACACACACTATATATATATACACACACACACACACACATATATATATATTTGAGATGGAGTTTTGCTCTTGTTGCCCAGCCTGGAGTGCAATGGTGCAATCTTGGCTCACTGTAACCTTCGCCTCCTGGGTTCAAGTGATTCTCCTGTTTCAGCCTCCTGAGTAACTGGGATGACAGGCACCCGCCACCATGCCCAGCTAATTTTTTTGTCTTTGTAGTAGGGACAGAGGTTTCACTATTTTGGCCAGGCTGGTCTCAAACTCTTGACCTCAGGTGATCCACCCGCCTCAGCCTCCCAAAGTGCTGGAATTACAGGCGTGAGCCCCTGCACCCGGCCCTTTGGCCGTCTGATGAAGCCTGTGGACCCCTTCTAAGAATAATTTTTAAAAACTTTTTTGAGACAGAGTCTCACTCTATCGCCCGGGCTGGAATGCAGTGGTGCCATCACAGCTCACTGCAGCCTCCAACTCCTGGCCTCAAGTGATCTCCTGTCCCAGTCTCCCAAGTAGCTGAGACTATAGGAGCACCACTATGCCTGGCTAATTATTTTTTGTATTGCCCAGGATGATCTCAAACCCCTGGGCTCAAGCAATTCTTCCACCTCAGCTTCCCAAAAATAGGCATGAGCCACCAAATCTGGCCCTAAGAATATTTTTAAATGCATAAAATAAGATTCTTAGGCTTACAAAAAAAATTATATTGAAAAAATATAATAGATTACTAAAGTGAGAGCAGTATGTGCTTCTTTTATTATTATTATTTTTATTTTTTTGTGATGAAATTCTGCTTTGTCACCTAGACTGGAGTGCAGTGGCATGATCTCGGCTCACTACAACCTCTGCCTCCCAGGTTCAAGAACCTGGGTTCTGCCTCAACCTCCTGGGTAGCTGAGATTACAGGCACCTGCCACCATAACCAGATGATTTTTGTATATTTTTAGTAGAGATAGGGTTTCACCATGTTGGCCAGGCTGGTCTCGAACTCCTGACCTCAGGCAATCTGCCCACCTCGGTCTCCCAAAGTGCTGGGATTACAGGCATAAGCCATTGCGCTCAGCCAAGATTAGCAATAATTAATGTGCTATGAAAATATTTTCTTTTTCTTCATGACAAATTCATGGCTAATACTGCCAGGATTTTTTTGTTGTTGCCCATATTCATAATAGAAGGGAATGCTAATGTGAAAATAAAGATGTCACTTTTTTTTTTTTTTTTGAGACGGAGTCTCGCTCTGTCGCCCAGGCTGGAGTGCAGTGGCGCGATCTCCGCTCACTGCAAGCTCCGCCTCCCGGGTTCATGCCATTCTCCTGCCTCAGCCTCCCGAGTAGCTGGGACTACAGGCGCCCGCCACCTCGCCCGGCTAGTTTTTTGTATTTTTTTAATAGAGACGGGGTTTCACCGTGTTAGCCAGGATGGTCTCGATCTCCTGACCTCGTGATCCGCCCGTCTCGGCCTCCCAAAGTGCTGGGATTACAGGCTTGAGCCACCGCGCCCGGCCTAAGATGTCACTTTTTCCCCAGTCCAGGTTCACAGACCCCCTAAATCATATCCATGACCTCCCTGAGGGGGATCCATGGACCCTCAGGTTAAGACCCCTACACTGAAGGGTCGCAGAGGACAGTTTGAAAATTACTGATTAAGAGCATGGGCTCTCCAGCAGTTCAAGCCCAGCCTGGGCAACAGGATGAGACCTCATGTTTACAAACAATGAACAAAATTAGGCATGGTGGGGCATGCCTGCAGTCCCAGCTACTCGGGAGACTGAGGTGAGAGGATCACTTGAGCCTGGGAGGTCGAGGCTGCAGTTGAGATTGTACCACGGTACTGCAGCCTGAGTGACAGAGAGATCCTGACTCAAAGGCAAAAAAAGAAAAAAGA